ATGCCGACATGTTCCTGGGTTTGTGTGTGCAGAGGTATGAGTGTGTGTGTGTGTGTGTGTGTCAGATCGATGTATGAAAGAGGAAAAAAAAAAAACAAAAACCCCCTGAACCGAACACCGTGGCAAACAGCAGCCCAAATCACCGGACTGGTAAAAGTCAAGACCCCGGCAGAAAGATCAAGACTGCATGCAGACACCATCATCATAGTGTGAGCAGACAGAAGGGAGGAAAAGGTAAAAAAAAAGAAGAAAGACAGAGCACTTTTATTTCTGGAGGTGTTAGTGGGGAGAAGAAGAAGAAGAAAAAAATCTGCAAAGAAAGGAAAAGGTGGGAAAAACAAGAAAGAGCAGAAAGAAAAGCAAACCTGGGCAAACTGGCTCACACCAACTTGAACCCTAGAAATCCTCCAACAATCCCGACATGGTCGCGTCCGCCGCGGGGCCAAAACGCTGCGACGAGGGCCGACTCTCGCGTTTCATTTACACCCAGCGGAGCTACGGGTTCTCAGCTGTAAATAACAATAAAAACCCAAACACCTCCAGTTCCCAGAGAGCCGCTTCAATGTGAAGTCCTGAACACTTGGCGTCGGCCCTCGTCCTGCGGTTTGACCCCGCTGTGGGGAAAGGGTCAGCGGAAAGCCTCCACCACCGCTCGAAGTCGGNTCCTGCTTCTGATGCTCTGTTCTCGACTTCTCGCAGCAGTAAAGTGATGCTTATTTTCATTTCAATTAAAACATGCAACAATTTTTTTTTGCATTTAAAGCCCCAAATTAAACTGAAAACATCCCATTTTAATTGCTAGCATGTCAGACAGTCCACTCCCACACGGTGCGTAAACAGCGATGTGAGCAGCAGCAGCAGCCTCTGCACAGCATCGGGGGGGTAATTAGTCTCCGTGTTACATGTTATCTGATAACTGCCAGGGACAGGGCAGATAATTGCTCACTTAAATGTTATAATTTACCAGTTCTCTCATCTTTTTTTTCCGTTTGAGTTAGTTGTGAGCATTATCCCCGAATATAAAGTGTTCCACGGCGCATTAAAGTCGAAGAAAAATGAGTTGTTTGGGCGTCTTCTGTGGCAGATTTCCATCTAATCTGTGCGATTACTAGATGTTCAAAAAGAGAGAAGAAAGAAGCCGAATGTGTTTAGACTGTTTGGTTTGTTATCTGCAGTTTATAATAGTGCAGAATTATGCCTCAGCTTTCCTGATAGCATCGTGTTGGGATGAAAAAGCCTGAAAACGCTGTTGATGCAACAAAATATTTTACCGATGATGCACCTTGCAGCAGCAGCCTGTGAGTTCTGAAGATCCAGAGCGAACTGAATCGAAGAAAAATGAGTTATTTGTGCGTCTATTACGACAGATTTCTACCTAATCTGTGAGATTATTAAAAGTTCAAAAGGAGCAGTGAGTGTTTAGTTTGTTATCTGTAGTTTATAATCGTGCAGAATTATGTCACTGCTTTCCTGATAGCATCAAGTTGTGATGAGAAAAGCTGTTGACACAACCAAATACGGCTGATAGTTTACCCATAATGCACCTTGCAGCAGCAGCCAGTGACTTCTGAGGATCCAGAATGAACTGAATTGAAGTAAAGTTTGTTATTTGGGCGTCTATTACGACAGATTTCCATCTAATCTGTGAGATTATTAAAAGTTCAAAAGAAGGACAGAGTGTTTCGTTTGTTATCTGTAGTTTGTAATCGTGCAGAATTATGTCTGAGTTTTCCTGATAGCATCGTGTTGTGATGAGAAAAACTGTCTACACAACCAAATACGGCTGATAGTTTACCCATAATGCACCTTGCAGCAGCATCCTGTGAGTTCTGAGGATCCAGAATCTATGTAAAAATGTGTTCTTTGGGCATCTTCACTGATAGATTTCCATCTAATCTGTGAGATTATTTAAAGTTCAAAAGAAGGCCAGTGTGTTTAGTTTGTTATCTGCGGTTTATAATGGTGTCGTATTATGTCACAGCTTTCCTGATAGCATCGCGCTGTGATGAAGAAAAGCCTGAAAACGCTGTCGACATTCTACCCATAGTGCACCTTGCAGCAGCAGCAGCATCCTGTGAGTTCTGAGGGTCCACAACGAACTGAATCTAATCGTCGGCCTCCAACTAGAGATGTGCTGATTATTTTACACGGCGGCTCGATTAACACGAGCGCCGCGGCGAGCGTTTGCTTTGATTGCCCCGGGTCAGTGACTGAATGAGCTCTAATCATAAACCACGCGGCGGAAACACACTCGGCTTCCCGACTCGTTCCTCTGCAGCCCCACGCCGGCCGCCGCTGGTGGTAATCTGCCGGCTGGAAGGTCGTCCTGCTGCGAGACAGATAGAGGAAGAGGCTAAAGTTAGCGCTGCCCGCGATGCCGAGGCGCGATAGCCACCTTCCCCACCTCCGATCTCGTACGCGGACGGCTTCGCGGCCGCGTGCTCGTGTGCACACGTGTGCGGCAGAGTTTCCCCTGCAGGCCTGGTTGTGTGATAAGCTGCAGCCCGAGGCCTCTCCTGGGCTCTTATCTCCCTGACAGACGCTACCCCGGCGTGGCCGCCGAGCCGGCAGTCACACCGAGGGGGCAGCACCGGAGCTTCTGGAAGTTTCAATCTGATTCCGCCGGCTTTGTTTCCGATTGTGGGAACAGAAACATATTTACTTCTGCGGCTCACTTCTGGGAGCCTGAGTTCACTGGGAAATCAGCTCAGTGTGGAAATGAAATTCATCTGGATGAAATCATTCCCGCCGTTCCTGCCAAGATTTGGATTCACCCGAGTTGCCGGAATAACACGACTGCGAGGAAATCGATAATTATGCGACCTGAGCGTCAACCAAAGGGGATTCTCACATCACAGAAATGATACGAGTTATTATTAAAGACGCGGTAAAATATACAAAAAAATGCTTTTTTTTTTCATTCATTACTCGATGAAAATCTCCATTTTTACCTCATAGTGAATGAGAACAGGTCGATGACAGTCACAGTCAATAATATCGATCTAATCTAATAAACAACCTGTACTCAAACTCTTCTATCATCTAAAAACAGCGATACAGCCGTTTGTTTTATGTGACAAAATGACGAAAAGCATCATTTTTAATGGCGTACAAACATGATAATGCATATCCTTTTCTACAGCGCCTGTTAAAATTGAATTACAGTCAATTTTATGTGGTTTTAAGACAAAATGTACAAAAAAAAAGACTTTCATGTCAAATTGGAAGCAGATTACAACAAATGTAGCCCAATAAATCAAAAATATATCATTCAGAATTGTGATTTTTTTTTTTTAAATCGACGAAAATCAGTTTTCACTTTGACATGAACGAGTCTTTATTTCTGTTAATTCTTGCTTTTGAATGACCTCATAGAGGACGTTTAAACCTGACATCTTTTATCTTTGGTTCAGTTTGACGCCAGCAACTTAAACCTCCAGAAAATTAGCATCATTAAAATTGTTACCCAAGTTTATGTGTCAACAGCCCTTTAAATAAAACGGAAAAAATTATGTTAGACATTAAATGGGGTCATAAAGACTGCCTGCATTGCCTTTGTTTCACCTCATGTGAAGCGCTTCCGTGGACCGTTATCACGTTGAGGATTATTGGC